TTGATGTGTGGTTTAAGCTTTAGTAATATTTCTTTTACAAGTTTGGGTACCATTTTGTTTGGGGCATAGATGTTAAAAATTGAGATGCCATTTTGGATTGACTTTTCTTTTGATGAGTATGACGTGTCATTCCCCATCTCTTTTGATTAATTCTATTTTCTTAAATATTCCAATGGCTACACCAGATTGCCTCTTGAGTCCATTTGCTTGGAAATTCTTTTTCCAACCCTGTACTCTGAGGTGAGGTCTATCTTTGGTGTTGAGGGTGTGTTTCTTCAAAACCAGGAGGATGGATCCTGATTTTGCACTATTCTATTAGCTTGTGTCTTTTATTGGGGAATTGAGGTCATTGATATGGATATTAAAGACCAATGATTGTTAATTCCTGATATTTTGTTGTTGGTGGTGGTAGTGTGTGTGCACGTGTGTGCGCGTGCCTTTGGGTTTTGCTGCTGTGAGATTATCTATTGCCTGTGTTTTTGTGGTTGTAGTTGACTTCCTGTGGTTGGAATTTCCCCTCTATTACCTTCTGTAGGGCTGGGTTTGTGGATTGATATTATTTAAATTTGATTTTGTTGTGGGATATGGTGATTCAAAGTTTTGCTGGGTTTTATATATAGTCTGGGCTGGCATCTGTGGTTTCTTAAGAGTCTGCAAGACATCTGTCCAGGCCCTTCTCACTTTTAGGGTTTCCATTGAGAAGTTGGGTGTAATTCTGATAGGTCTGCCTTTATATGTTACTTGGCCCTTTTCCCTTGCAGCTTTTAATATTCTTTCTTTGTTCTGTATGTTTAGTGTTTTGATTATTACATGGTAGGGGAACTCGCTTTTCTGTTCCAGTTTATTTGGTGTTCTGTAAGCTTCTTGTACCTCTCTAGGCATGTTCTTCTTGAGGTTAGGAAAATTTTCTTCTATAATTTTGATAAAAATATTTTCTGGGTCTTTGTGCTGGGATTTTTCTTCTTCTATTCCCTTTATTCTTTGGTCTTTTCATAGTATCTCAGATTTCTTGGATGTTATGTGTGTATGTGTGTGTTTGTGTGTGTGTGTGTGTGTGTGTGTGTGTGTGTGAGAGAGAGAGAGAGAGAGAGAATGTTTTTAGATTTAAGATTTTCTTTGGCTGATTTATCAGTTTTTTCTATTGTATCTTCTGTGCCTGAAATTCTCTCTTATTCTCTCATATTCTGTTGGTGGTGCTTATGTCTCTAGTTCCTGTTCACTTCCCTAGATTTTTCATCTCCACAATTCCTTCAGTTTGGGCTTTTTTATTGTTTCTATTTTCATTTCCAAATCTTGGAGAGTTTTATTCATTTCCTTTAACTGTTTGTTTGGCTTTTAAAAAGGGATTTATCCACCCTCTCCCATTGTTTATTTACATTTCCCTGAAGTTCTTTATTTATTCATTTCCTCCAGTTGTTTGTTGGTGCTTTCCTGAATTTCTTTAAGGAATATTTATTCATTTTCTCTTTAAGGACCTGCATCATCTTCATAAATTTGGTTCGAAAGTTGTTTTCTTGTGCTTCAGCTATGTTGGTATATTCAGGTCTTGGTGTAGGAGGATAGCTGGACTGTGGTTGTGAAATATTGCCCTGGATGTTGTTGACTATGTTATTACCTTATGTTGGCTTATAGACATCTGGACCTGGAGTAATTATAGGTTTAGGTGCTGATTTCTGAGTTTATGTCTTTGCTGCATGGATGTTTTTCCTTTGTTTCTGTTTTCTCTCTGGTTTTCTGGCCTCTCTGGCCTGTGGTTCTGGAACTTGCAAGTCTAGTAGGGTGCCTCTGCTGGGATTTTGGCAGCCTGTGTGACCTCTGGGGTCCTGGGGTTCTGGGAACCTCTAAGACCTCTGGTAGAGCAGAGGGCTTCCGCCAGTGTTGTGGGCTGGGATATGGTGACAAGGATGGAGGATGGGGTTGCTGTTGGGGGAAGGCTGGGTGGGCTCTGAGGAAGTGCTGTTGGTCTAAGAGCTAGGTGTACTGCTTCCCAGTTGCTTTCTCTGGTTCTAGTGTGTTCTGTCCTTTAACCAGCCTCCTGTGCTCAGTTTAAACATGTCCGCCTCAAGCCTGTGGCCCACCTCACTTTCTGATTTGTAACTTGCTCACCACTGTGAAGATGTAGACTGCAGAGTTTCCGCCACTGCCTCACTTTTAGTTTTCTCCTGATCCAATACAATCTCTGCGGCTGCAGTTCGTTATTGCGTCTGTGCCTGCTTCACTGTCAAGTTCCATGGATGCTTTTGATTCTTTTCTCAATGAGTCACTCTTAACTTTTGACTTTGATTGTGTTGTTTCCTAGAAAGCCTTGTCCCTGGCTCTGTGACTCAGACATTACCAGGAACTCCGATCCTGTTTCCTTAGTCTCTTGACCGTCCTTGTTTCTCTAAGGTACTTTTGTAGGTGCTTTAAGTGTTTGGTTTTCTCAACCTTGCCCCTGCCCCTGTGCACAAAGGTTCTTAATATTTGGATAGAACCTTGGAAACACTGTGAGAAATTACAAATGATTCCCGGCAGTGTGTGTTTGCCTGTTATCCTAGCATTTAGAAGGCAGAGGCAGGAGGATCAGATTTTGGCAAGCTTGAGTCTAGCTTGAGCTGCATAGCAAGTTTCAGGCTAGCCAGGGTTACAGAGCGAAACCCTATTTCAAAAACAAACAAATAAGCAAAACTCCCCGAGTATATTTCTCCCTAAGAGCTAGGTATGCTAGTGTGTGTCTATAATCACAGCAGGAAACAGAGGCAGGAGGATAGCCATGAGCTCCAGGCCAGTCTCATCTGTATGGTAAGTTTCATACCAGCTTGGACTACATAGGAAAACTGTTTCATTGAAAAAAAAAAGTGTATGCTAGAAAATATATAAATATAAAAATGCATTTGTTAAAATTTGAATGTCTGGCCAAAGAATCCATTTTCTTTTGAGTATAGGTACTTATTGAAATTTATTTTTCAGGCCCCCTCCCACCTCCTTTTTAAAGACAGAATGTCACTTAGCCCAGGCTGGCTTTGACCTCTATAGTGAAGAAAGATGACCTTGAACTCCTGATCTTCCTGTCTCCTCTTTCAGGTACTAGAATTACAGGTGTGCCACCACACACATGTCATAGCTTATTCCTGACTAAATGGAATGCGGGATACACCATCTACACTTCTAGTTCTGATTTAAAAGTAGGATCTCAAGCCACTTGTCCAGCTGCCTACAGAATCATGGGTTTGCGTGCTTTCAGTTACAGCGTCCTGAGCCTTGCTCAATAGCAGTTCACTTTTCATATAGAGGCATACTTATCCTGGCCCTTAGTGAGGCATTTAAAGTATATGCAATTGCAGAAATTACAGTTGTCTTCTTATATTTTATTGGTTTGTTTAATTAAACTCCATATTTATTATATAAAAATACAGTTTGTGAACACACACTCATCCCTCAAGAACAGAGAGCTCAGTGGTCTTCATGCTGCAGAATCAGTCAGTGGGCCGCAGCAGAAATGAGTGATGTCGTCAGCGAGTGGGATGGTAGTGAATGGAGGCTGGTTAAGACAGTTTATACTGAAGCTGTTTTTGTTGTTTATCTCCCTTTCTTAGAACATGAGCTCTTCCTAGGCAAAGTGTCTGCTTTCCCATATTTAACTTTTCTCTATGCACAGTGCCTATTCCATTGCATCCAACTTTATTATTGGGTGAATAAACACATTCTTATATAGGTTATGGTAATTTTGAATAGTCTGCATAGTAGGATGGAAATCAGCTTGTATAGACAGGTCATGGCCCTGAATCCCTTTTTACTTGTATTTGTGGACGGTTTCCTTTTGACTTTTTGTTGAAGGAGTGGAAATGTGAAGTGTCCAGCACAGCAGCTGATACAATAAGCAGTACTTGATGCTCATAGGTAGTGACAACGAGCCTTTGTTGCATCTAATTTCTTTCATTGGGAGGCCTCAACTACATGATCTGGTATTTGTCTTATGTGTTAAAGTTCTTTCTATAAAGAATATTTGATGTTGGAACTGCTTTCTACAACAAATATGTATTTCTTGGTATGTTACATTTGTGAGTTTGAACTATAGTAATTAATTACCTTTATACCTTGGAAAGCAATTTCAAGCTTTGCAACAGCGTTTGCTGGAGAGTTGACGTTCTAATAAAGTGTGAAGGGCAGTGGCTTCCATGCCTCACTGTCCCACGTCAGTGTAAGACCGGAGGCAAGAGGCAGACACATTCTGAGGAGCATATTTGAAAGCATTGTCTTAGAGTCAGATAAAATTAACAGTGAGGATTTAGACTACGTTTCAACATAAATAACCCTGGTCATTATAAAAATGAACAAACAGCCCAGAATGTTTGGTTGAGTGATCCATTAATTTATAGGGTGTATGTTTAGAATGTTTGAGACCCTGTATTCAATGCCCAGCAATTCAAAAAGAAAACCAGACAAGAATCACTCTTGATCACTTGTCTGAAGTTTCTGTCTGGCCCTTAAGTCCCAAAGAACCACACAGAGGTCTACATTAATTATAAACTGATTGGCCCATTAGCTAAGGCTTCTTATTAACTAATCCTTATAACTTACATTAGCCCATAATTCTTGTCTGTGTTAGCATGTGGCTTGGTACCTTTTTCAGCGAGGCAGTCACATCTTGCTTGCTGTGTCTGGCTTCCTCTCTGTCTGGGTGATGACTGTAGACTGAAACTTCCCTCTTCCCAGAATTCTCATTGCCCCACCTCTACTTCCTGCCTGGTTGCCCCACATTTACTTCCTGCCTGGCTACTGGCCAATCAACATTTATTTAAAATACAAGTAACAGGGTACAGACCATTGTCCCACAGCATTGATCAAGCAAAGAAAGCTCCATAGATAAATACTCTTTTACAAGCATAGGCCTTTAGGTTTTCTTGTTATCTAAAACACAAAGGAAGACAGGGAGAGAATATTGAGAGAGAAAACGCCCATGACTGACCCCAGGATCTTTTCCATTATCCTGCCCCAACTTTCTCTCTTTTGTGTTGCAGTTGTCATTTACCATGGAAGATGAGTTCTTTGGAGAAAAGAGCTTCCAGCATTATTGTGCAGAGTTCATCAAACATTCACAGCAGATAGGCGATGGTTGGGAGTGGAGAACAGCCAAGGTAAGAGCAGAAAAAGCCTTCTTTGTCTTTGTGTTTTATGCTGGGGTCTTCCTGTGTATCGTAACTAGCCCGGTGCTTTCGCCTAAAGACTCGGCAATCCTTCCATCTGTCTCCCAAGTGATGGGTCACAGGCATTTGTCACCACACCTAGTACAACAAGGATTCCTATTTCTGTTTTCAGGGAGGGTTGTTTATTTTTGTTATATAAAAACCGCAGTAATCGATGGTAAGGTATAAAAGTGGGGTTGATTTAAGAGAAGGCATAAAATTAAAATCATTCTTTAAAACAGATGTTCATTTTATTATTCTAGCTATACATACTCATAATTACTTGGCTAATGAAGTGTTATCTAGAAAAGCCCTTAGGTGACCTTCATGATTTTATAGATAAGGACCCTTACAATATTAATTATCGCTATGTAAACAGTTGTTTCTCTGGTGCTTCAAGCCACTTGTTTATATTATAAATGTTTGTTCTCTCTTGGTTTTGTGATAGGGTCTGGCCTTGAACTTCATATGTTGTCAGAGATGACAATGAAACCCTCTCTCCTGCCTTTGCCTCCCAAGTACTGGGATCACAGGCTTGTGCCACCATAGCTGGCTACGTTCTAATTTTCTTAGGACAGTATTTTTGTCTAGCGAGTAATAGTATCTGAAATATTTAGGAATGTGTGTTTGGGGGTTTCTTAATGACATAAAAACATTACAGAATGTTTGTTCTTTTGATTCTATTCTAAAGTAATGTAAAAGCTTTAGATACCCTTTACTTCCATACCTACAATTGGTGATACTCTCTGCTGAAAACTTTTTGAGAATTACCTGCAATCTTTTTAGAGACCGTTCACGCTGCCTGACATTTCAGTTGATTCATGAGCAGCTGAGGCTCTTGCTTCTCTGCACCGTGGTTTAGCTTCTTCCAGTGTGCATATGAGAAACCTGACGATCTTGGGCCCCCTTCCCATTACTTAGAACTGAGCAGGGAGATGCAGGTGCTGATCAGGCTTAGAATGGGTTCTCTGGGCTCATTTGCTTGAACCAAGCTCAGACTAGTCCTTCAATCTTCTGTCTCCCTGGTGACTCAAGAAACCCTGTCTCGAAAAACCAAAAAAAAAAGAGTCTGTTACTCAGAGACAAGACCTCACTTGGTGGTGCAGCCTGGCTTCCGTGGGTACAGGGTCTCGCTTGGTGGTGCAACCTGGCTTCTACTCGCACAACCTTAAATTCGCAGCAGTCCTACCTGGTTCCTCTGAGCTTGGATAAAGGCATGAATCACAGCAATGATCAGAAACCTTTAAACTCTGAGGGGCCCTTGCTCCCTCCTTGTACAGAACATGTACTTTTTTTTTTTTTTTTGGTTTTTAGAGACAGGGTTTCTCTGTAGCTTTGGAGCCTGTCCTGGAACTCCCTTTGTAGACCAGGCTGGCCTCGAACTCACAGAGATCCGCCTGCCTCTGCCTCCCGAGTGCTGGGATTAAAGGCATGCGCCACCACCGCCCGGCTTCGGACATGTACCTTTTATTAATTGATTGCATTCTTGGGTATTTTATACTTTTGTTTACGGTTACCTTTGAATTTTCATTCATACTACCTTTTCCATGAGTTACATTGGGGAATCACTATTTTTTGCGTGTTAATCCTATAACCAGTAACTGTACCTTCTTGTTGTTGCGTTCCTTGTGATATTCCTCCATTGTTTCATGGTTGAGTAGGAACATGCTAAGTAATTAACAGCTCTTTGTGTTCAGCTTGATTTTAGTGTTAATGGTTCTGACACTGAATGAGTCTTGGTCTCTTCCTCCTACCCTCCTTTGTATTTCTCTTTTGGTGTTAGAACTGCAACTCAAGTATAGGTTTCTGACTCCATCTCTTTTATAAAGGTTCTTATAAAAGCCCAGGGACAATAAATCAGTATTCCTGGGAATTATCAGAAATTCAGAATTATGGTTATTTTAGACACATTTCTTCTTTTTAAAATTTTATTATCAGGGTTTCTCTGTGTAGCCTCGACTGTCCTCGAATTTGCTCTGTACACCAGGCTGGCCTCAAATTCACAGAGGTCCACCTGACTCTGCATCCCATGTGCTGGGATTAAAGATATGTGCCACCGCCATCTGAAAAATGAAAAAAAGTAAGAAAGGATTCTAATTTTCATTGAATTTCCAGGTACAGTGAGAGAGACCCTGTCTCAAAAAAAAAAAGGTGGAGAACAATAGAAAAATTATGGACAGATAGTGTGCGTGTGCTTACACACACAGAGAGAAGAGGAGAGAGCAATAGAGGAGTAGACTGTATATGGACAGATAGTGTGCGTGTGCTTACACACACAGAGAGAAGAGGAGAGAGCAATAGAGGAGTAGACTGTATATGGACAGATAGTGTGCGTGTGCTTACACACACACAGAGAAGAGGAGAGAGCAATAGAGGAGTAGACTGTATATGGACAGATAGTGTGCGTGTGCTTACACACACAGAGAGAAGAGGAGAGAGCAATAGAGGAGTAGACTGTATATGGACAGGTAGTGTGCGTGTGCTTACACACACACAGAGAAGAGGAGAGAGCAATAGAGGAGTAGACTGTATATGGACAGATAGTGTGCGTGTGCTTACACACACACAGAAGAGGGGGAGGATTAAGGAGAGACAATATACATTTTATGTTTAGACAATATACATTTAGATTCAATTTCGTATTAGTTTCTCTCTGATTTTATAAATTGTGTTGAAGTAATAATATTAAAATAGCAAACTTTAACTAAAGCCTCTTTCCACTTAATTTTTTCCCATCAGTTTAATTCTGTCTTCACAGGAATGTCTACTGTTCATTTTGTGGCTTTCGGAACTTAGGTCCTTCTGTGTTTTAAGAAAAATGAGCAAAGCCACTATGTGAGCCATTGCTCTTCTCCTTAATTCCATGGTTAATGATGTTTATTATGGTGACTCATAAAACATGTCTACAAGCATCTTCACTCAGAGATACTGTGTTCTCACTGCAGTCCATAAAGCCCAGATCGTATAAGAAACGCTCTAGCATTATCTGGACAGAGGTGTCAGGAGTCTCAGTCCTTCTTTGTGCATTCATGAACTCTTTAGTAAGTATTTGAAAATTCAGTATCACAGTAGGCTGGAGATGTAGCTCAGGGAAATCATACCTGCCTCCCATGCACAAGGTCTCCACAGTTTAAAAACGAAGCCCCAAAACACCTCACTTCAGCTCTCTCTCTAGAGTTTTCCATTTGTTAACTGTGTCAGTATTCATGTGCGTGTGTGCACACACTCACCTGTGTTTGAATAGTCCAGAGGTTGATATTCAGTGCGTTTTTAAATCACTTACCATATTTTTGAGATCCAGTCTCTTAGTCATGGAGCACACCAAATTTGTTGATTTTATTAGTGGTGGTGAGGTTCTTGGCCTGTTATTCCAATAATTGTAATAAAGGCTCATACAGATGCCAAAATGGCAAGGAACTTTAATTAACAACATGGTAGTATAGAGAAGAAAGAAACACAAGTGAGGGTCCCACAGAGCTCCAGTCATTCTTGGTGCTCCTTTAATAGGGTCCCCCACAGTGTGGTCACTAGAGGATAGTTTAGGGTCTCCATTTTGATTGTAATGTATCTGATTTTAATCGGTGCATGCCCAGTTATGAATAAGCATGAGATGGTAATAAAAGATTCTCTCTAAACGTTCACTTGAGGGGCAGGTTGAGCCCCCAGCCTCTGTACTGAAGGCATATCTGAAGTATAACTGACTGGAAACTGTCTATGTTAGATGGGTCTTATGTGGAACAGAAACTTCTTGCATTTTGTTTGAAGTGGCTTACTGAGTAAAATTCCCAGCGTCTGTCGCTGGCAGAACCATGGCATCTCTCCCTGACTCTGCTTTCTTTCTCCCAGAATTCAGTTCCGTCTTCCCCGCCTACCTAAGTTCTGCCCTATCAGGCCAACGCAGTTTCTTTATTCATTAACCAATGAAAGCAACACATTGACAAAAGGACCTTCCACACCATTTCCCCTTTTTTTGTTTAAACAAAAAGGAAGGCTTTAACATAGTAAAATTACATATAACAAAACAGTTACCAAACAAGAATTACAGTTACAATATTTATATCTATTTTATCTTTTATCATAACTAAGGAAAACTATATTATTACTATCTATTCTTCAGCTCCATCAAAGACTCCAGAAGGATATAATATTACCTAAGTAAACAGGAAGTGCACTGTAACTAACTTCCAAAACTGTAGAAATTACAAAGACATCTTGCTGCCTGGACAGTCACCTAAAGTTCTTCTGTACCATTGAGGCATCCATCTTCAGCCTTCAGGCCCATAGCATCCAGCAGACTTTTCCATGAAGCAGGAAATTTCAAAGATAGTTCAGTCACTTTCTTCTGTGTCCTTCAGAATGTCTAGCAGACTCTCATGAAGCAGGAACCCCGAAGGATCATTTCACCTTTAGGCAAGTTCAGCAGTCATTTCTCTGTGGCTCCTGCATTTCCAGTTAAGCAGTCCAGGCAAGAGCAGGTTCTTTCCCAAATGGCTAAAGAGCCTCTTTGATGCCCATCTTCCTCTTGAAGTAATTGGTGCTGCCGGGAGCAGATGTGTCTCACTGTCATGAAAAGTCCTAAGTTATTAAAACATTTTAAATGCCATATTCTGAAGGTTTCTGAAAGATTTGAAGAATATCTATCTGAAATATATCTCTATATATCTAGAAAAATCTAACTAACATGACTACAATCTTGACTATTATAGATGACTATCTATTAACCTATATTTCTTAATTATACATTACATTTTTTGACCTGCCCAGCAGGTCCTAAGTTATTCCAGGGTCTTGAAGAGGCACTATCTGAAAGACATGGGGGAGAGAGAAATGGAAGCCAAGCAGTATTCCTTGTCAAGGCATCTCGTTTATTGAAGCTAGTTTTACGACTTATATACTCCTCAGTGAGGAGCTCAGGCAGGGGGGAACTGAAGAAGGGAAAAGGGGGGAAGGAA